TTATTTTATTTATAAGTAAAATATATTATATGTTGGAAAAGCTAAGTGCCATCCAAAAAAAAAAAAAGAGTAGATCAGAATAAGAGAGATTCAAAGAGCACTGTGTGGGAAGAGTCGTGCAATTTCAAATAGGGTAATCAGGACAGCCCTCCTATGGAAGGTGAGACTGAGCAGAAACCTGAAGGAGGTGATTATTAATCATGCAGTCATCTAGAGGAAGAGTGTTCTAGGCAGGGAGAACAGCCGGGGCCTAAAGCAGATGTGTCTGAAATGTTTGAAAAACAACAAGGAAGCAACAGTGGCTAAAATGTAGTATGCAAGTGCAAGGGCAGTAGGAAACGAGGTCAGAGAAAATGAAGGGCCATATCATATAGTGCCATGAAGCTACTGTAAGTAAGGAGTCTGGCTTTTACTCGGGGTAAAATGGGAAGCCCCTGGAGAGTTTTGAACAGAGGACTAATATAATCTCACTTATGTTTTAAAAGGAATACTCTGGTTGACTACAGATTGTAAGGTTATAAATAAAGAGACCAATGAGGAGGCTACTGCAGCAATCCAAGTGAGAGATAAAGGTAGTTTGTACCAGTAGGATAGCAATGGAGATAGCAGGAAGTATTTGGATTTTGAATATATTTTGAGGATAGAGCCAACAGGATTTCCTTATGGACTGGATATAGTGTGTGAAAGAAATAATCGCCAAGGTTTTTGGTCTGAGGAACTAGAAGGATAGTTGCCACTCCCTGAGATGGGAATAGCTGCAGGAGGAGCAGTTTGAGATGTATTAGACAACCAAGTGGGGATGCTGAGTAGGTAGGCTGGATATACAAGTCTGATCTGGGAGCAAAAGGTCTAGATTAGAAATAGAAATTTGAAAGTCATCTGCATTTTAAATTGTATTTAAAGCTAGGAATTAGAAGATATTACCAAGGGATTAATACTGATCAGTTTCTCAACCTTGGCGCTATGGCCATTTGGGGCCAGAACATTCTGTTGTGTGGGCTATTCTGTGTATTGTAGTTTAGCAGCATTCCTGGTCTCTACCCACTAGATTTAGGTAGCATCCCCCCCCACCACACACATAAGTTATAACAACCAAAATCATCCCCAGACATTGCCAAATGCCCCTTGGGGGCAAATTGCTCTCCTTCCCAGTTGAGAACCACTGATAAAGAATAGGACCAAATACTCTAACATTCTATCACACCCCTTCACATCTAGGTTACAGAGCATCAAGTCACCACTTTCTTCTCAGCACCCAAAACCAACTTAACCCCTTGTGCTTGTTGTAAAGTTCAGTATCACAATTCACTTTAACTATTTACACTTAGTTGCTGAGTACAGCTAAAGAAAAGTCCCACATGCTTACTACCTTCAGTGCCACACATATTTAGTCTTTGTCTTTAGCTGAGCCCTCCAAAATACTGTCGTGTGTCCCTAGGCCGTTCCCTCTCCCATCTCGTACAGTTGCTATTCCAAACCTTACCATTCACCTTAAGACTAATAACATATCCTCATTATTTATTATTTTCTTTTTAACTGACTTTCTCCCCGCCCAGAAAATAAACTTTCTGCCTCATTAGAACACAGCAGACATTCAGTCTACACATGAATCCTTCCCTCCAACCTTGGTCAGTTTCCTATTTCGGAGTAGTAAATTGAGGCCATCAGGAGTGAACTTTATCAATATTCTGCCCCAACAACTACAAACTTAACTCTGTGAGGACATTGTTTTCTTGGTCTTTAGTTCTCACTAATGTAATTGATGAACTTCCTATCTACCAAATCGTAAAGAATCAGCTTTCTACTCTGCTAAAATAATAAACTGTCTACAAAATAATGTACCTCTTCCCCCTTGGGCTGGGTCCTTTGAGCTCTAAATTGAAAAATGAATATTTAACACATGCAGAATAATAGATTTTTTGAAAATTATTAGATATTGTAAAGTGATTTATTTAAATGTTTTTTAATCCTCTGTAATTAAAATAAAATAAAATAAAATAAAATAAAATGAAGAATCAGCTTTCCTCCTAACTGACCTTAAGTACCTGCTATGAGCACTTATACATTATAAAGGTGAGTGGGTATTTCCCAAGGTTCTAACCGTGACACTCCATTCTTTTATATATTCTCTCTGAACTAGCTCATTCATGCTCAAGGCTTCCACCACTACCATTTAAGCTAGAAACTCAAAACCCAAATCCTCGTACCCAAGCAAAACCTTGTTTCTAAGTTCTAAACACTTTACTTCCAACAGTCTGGTGGTAGTCATCCCTCCTCAAATTTCCCACAAGCACCCCAACATGTCCAAAACAAAACCCATCTTCTCTCTCTAAATGTATTCATCTTCCTGTACTCAATTTTTCTTCATTCATTTAACCAGTCTGTACCAGGACCTATGATAGGCACTGAGAATATAGACATGTTAAGTGCTCAAAAGGAACTCGCAGTCTAGAAAGCAAGAGACAGTGAAACTAATAGTATAATCCAATACCTACATAGGTTGAGATATGCAAAAGGTATACAGAATAATAAGAATGGAGAGGGGGAATTCGGGAAGGTATCTTGGAAGATTTAATACCTGACTTGAATTTAAAAGAAAACAGAAGTTAACCAGAGATAATCAGCTCTAAAAAGAAACGTGGTATCGATGGGCTATTTATAAGCAATTTAGAACATAAAATCCAAAGCAAGGAGTGTAAACCATAAATCAGATCATACATCCCCTTAAAGGCCATATTAATAAACTTATAATTCATCTTGAGTGCAACTGGTAACTTCAAAAGAGTTTCAAGCAAGAGAATGACATGGTAAAGCTTCTACGTCAGATATTTCTAGCAGTTATGTGGAAAGGTGAAGATTAGAGATAGTTTTAAGGCTAACAGTCCAGGCAAGAGGAAAGCTTTGTATGAGAGGCAGCGATGGTAGTAAGGTTAGAAAGAAGAGACATAACAAAGAAATAATTAGGAAGCTAAGTGAGTGCATAGGCCTTTATAATTAATTGGCTATCCAGAAGCCAGGGTTAAGGAGGAGTGAGGATTTAAGATGGCTCCTGGCCAAGTTTCAAGCTTGGCTAAAAACAGCACCTACAAATCAATAAGAGTGAGAAAAGAATTCCAATAGAAAAACAGGCAAAGACAAGAATCAAGCAATTCACAGAAAAATAAAAGACCGCTAAGCACATTTAAAAAGCTCAATTTCAGTGGTAATAAGTTTAATGAAAATTACAACAAAGGGATACCTTCCTTATCCTCACTTCCCAAAAAAAGATTCACAAAATTTTAAAAGACAGATAATATTCAGTGTTAGTGAAGGTGTAGGAACACAAACATACCTCCACTAGTAATAGAGCACAGCTCGGAACACCCTTTTGGGATGTAATTTAACAGTATATATCAACGCTTAAAGCATACATTCCCTTTGAAGCAGCAATTCTGCTTCTAAGAATGTAGCTATTCACACACATACAAAAATGCTCACTGTAGATGATTTAAAAAAGAATATGAAGAGAACCTAAACATTCATCCTTAGGAAGAGATTAAACCAATTATGGTAATCCGTATCACAGAAGAATACAATACAACCTGAAATATGTATGAAATGAAATGGAAATATTTCCGAAATATACATATTTTAAGGGAAAAACCAAATCACAGAACAACACATATAATATATTCCAAGTTATGTTTAAAAAACATAAAAGCCCACATATGCTAATGAATGCACAGAAAAAGGTCTGGAAGACTATAAATAAAAACTTCAATGTGGAGAGAAGAGTGGAACACAGGAATACACAGGATAAAGGGATACTCATTTTTCACTCTAAGTTTATAGTATGATTTTTTCCCACCACACGAACGTGAACTACTTTTATAATTTTAATAATGAAAAACATAATGTGTATGACATGTGGCATGTGACTAGTTGATAAAACACTTGGATAAGTAAAAGAGATTCAATGGCTTTTTAAAAGCCACAGCCCAAGCTTAATAAGACTACCACTAAACATCTCTTGTTATTAGCTATTCTCACATATGCATTACACATTGCCCAAAGGGCTTGCATTTGCCTGTATTCCTTGCTGGTAGGGCAAGCCCACTTTCAGCATTCATGCTGCTCAAAGCCGCACTCAAAGAATTTTTCTTTGCAATGCAGGGGTCATATTAATTGATGTGTCAAATCCTTGTCTTTAACCTTCTTCGAAAGTTTTAAAAAATGTTTACCATTCCTGATATGAACAGTTGCAGTAAAATTTAAGTGACTGAGAAAATAATTAGAACAAAGTGTGAGAAAGAAATATTTTGACTCATAATTTAACTAAAAGTTGGCTTTTATTCATCATTTCTTAAAACAGTGTACTCTTTCAACATTTTCTCAAGAACATAAACTATTTTTTGGAATTTTCCCTTTGCTATATAACAACTATTTCCTTTTTAACATGCTTTTACTTCTGAAACCAAATCTCTCCAAGTAACTTTCAAGTGGTTTTTTTTGGCCCATCATCATTTTCTCCAATATCAAAGAGATAACTAACATAGCAAAGTGAAGGGAAGTTTCTGAAGATAAATAAAATAGCAAGGACATTCGCTTCCAGTAGAATACCCCTTTCTCTAAGGTCAAGAAACAAGATATTAATTCATTTTGACTAGTGGATGATTATAATTGAGCTTTCTTTATGACTTGCTGTCATGGGCTGAATTGTGTGCTCCTACCAAAATTCGTGTTTAAGTCCTAACACCCAGTACCTCAGAATAGTGGTTGTATTTGGAGATAGGGTCTTTAAAGAGGTAATTAAGTTAAAATGAGGTCATTAGAGTGAATCCTAATCCAATATGACCAGTGTCCTCATAAAAAGGGGAAATCAGGACACAGACATCTAAATCCATGAGAAGACAGCTACCTACAAGCCAAGGAGAGAGGTCTCAAAAGAAACCAAGCCTGCCAATACCTTGATCTCAAACTTCTAGCCTCCAGAGCTCTGAGAAAATAAATTCGTTAAGTCATTGTGGACAGACTGTCTTCCCAAAATTCATAAATTGAAGCCCTAACCCCCAATGTGACTCTATATTTAGACACAGGGCCTTTAAGAAGGTATTAAAGGTTAAGTGAGGTCATAAAAGCGGGGTCCTAATCTGATTGGACTGTTGTTCGTATAAGAGGAAGAGAAACCAAAGATTCCTCTCCTTCCGTGCGTGCGTGGACAATACCAGTACAGACAAGAGGTCGAGGAGAAAAGCCTCACCAGAAAACAACCCTGATGGCACTTTAACCTTACATTTCTAGCCCCCGGAACTGTGAAAAAATAAATTTCTTTTGCTTAAGCCACCTAGTCTGGGTACTTTGTTATATGGCAGTCCTAGCAGATTAATACATTTGCCCATCCAGTAATTTATTTTTTTAATTAAATTTATTTGGGTGACATTGGTTAATGAAATAATATAAGTTTCAAGTATAAAATTCAATAATACATTATATGTGTATTGCGCTGTGTGTTCACCACCCAAAGTTAAATTTCCTTCTGTCACCATATATTCGACCCCCTCTACCCCTATCCAATCCAGTAATTTAAAAAGCATTTTTGCTGTTCCATGTCAGAGAAGACGAAGTATTTAAGTGCCCCCATGAAAAAAACAAAACTAACAGCCCAGTTGATGGAAGCTTTTTATGACCTTTCTTACCTTCTTAAAGATTGTAGCAGGTGCAATTTCAGATCCATTCAGTGTACGTAACAGGAACATTGGCCAAGATGATACATTCATCTTGTACCCTATTGCAGAAAATAAATTAAATGTCATAAAAAAAGCCTATGGTATTATAACTAGTTGATATTTAAAGTAGCTTTCATTTGCCATTCTTCTCCAGAGAATAACTTTCTTATCGAGGAACTCAGGAAGTGGTCAAGAGGAGCAGCTGCACCCTCCAATCAGCACTACTGGTTGTACCCACTGTACTCCTTGACAACAATGCTACGGTGGAAGTAGAAACTCTCATTTTAGAGAAGCCACTAGCTAGAGTTCACCAATACACACATATATGCTGGGAACGGGCTAGAATATTCAGGGTGATCCAAGCCAGAACCCAGGACAGCTTCTATTTCTCACCAACAGCCACACAGGGCAAAGGCTGCAAAAGACTTCCAGTCCCTCTTCTTCCTCGGAGCCCCTGCTTTATTTCCTTTCAGAGAAAGACACTTTCCTGTCAAACTCAGCAAATATACACTTATGATGATACATTTCATTGTAAGTAAATTTTACCTCAAAAGAAAAAGAAAATAAACACTAAACTCTAGTTAATGATATGCGTGCTAAAGTATTTAGAGAAAATGTATTGATGCCAATTACTTACTCTGAAATGCTTTTAAAAATAAGATGGATTGATGAATTGCTAGAAGGGCAGATGGACAGAGAAGTGATAAAGCAAGTATAGTAAAACCATAATGGTAGAACCTAGGTAGTGGGTATGTGAGTGTTCACTGTAAATTTTTCACTTTTTGTGTATGATTGAAATTTTTCGTACAATATGTTAAAAGAAAAAGACAGCTCTCACTTTAGCAATCTTTATACACACTAAACATGATTTCCTCTTAGAATTTTTATCAGATGCTATCAAAATAGACTCAACAGACATCTTTTCTAGATCTTATCAATTAATAGTGAATATCACAGCATCTGGCATGTGTAGCAGGGAGCAAAGGTCTGCTAGTTTCTCTGCTTTCAAGAGGCAATCTGTTTCAAGCAACACTTCCCTGCCTTGATGCCAGAATTGGAGAGAACTTGGCATGCATCCCTGATGGATACATGCGTTAAGACAGGAAGGCACATGAATCACTTGCAACAGGTCCATCAATATGATAAAACATGCAAAAAAGTTCAGCCAGAAAGTCACCCTATAATAACCCTGTACCAAAACACCCTCATCTGACTAGAAAAATAATTACTGCTAGGAAAAAGGCGGGGGGGGGGGTTTTTTTTCATACTCCTTTAAAATAAATCTGTATTATTAGTGGTATCTAATAAATAGTTATCCACAGCATGGATTTCCCACACTGTGATTAAAATATTGCATGAGAATCATTCTCTGGTCCTTACACCTTTCTCTTAACCCTCATCTTACCCTATTACATTGTGCATCATGATTTTTCTTAATTTAACATTTTTCTTAATTCTATAAATCCCTAAAGTCAAACAGATTAAAAGGCTAAAAAATAGATGAAAGTGCATATAAAAAATTCAAACACAGATAAAACTAATCTATGGTGTTAGGAAGTCTGGGCAGTGGTTACGTTTGGAAAGGGGGAAACTATGACTGGAGATCAACAGGAGTAGGGCTTCTGGGGTGCTGATAATGTTCTATTTCTTGATTCAGGTGGTGGTTATACAAGTTTATTCATATATAAGCTATAAACTTATGATCTGTACACTTTTATTTTTGTATATAATGCTTTAAAAAATCTTTTAAATAACAACCTTTAAGATTTAAATAAACCTTTTAAAAAGGAAAACGAAATAAGTTGTTATATTAAAATGGAAACTATTCAAAGTACCTAGTGAGCAACTTGACGAAAATTGTGTATTTTTATATGTACTGTCAAAATATATACTAATCAGTATGTACTGCTATGTATTTCATATTTTTAATTAAAATAAACTCTAAAAGTAATTTTAAAAAGAATGATCCTAAATCTAGCTATGTGTTTCAAATGCTGGCAATCATAATAGCTATATTTTCCTTTAAACAAAATATAAAAACATATTACGGTATTGTAAACAGAGAGATAAAATCCAAACAGGGAAGCACTACACCTCAGGTTTATACATATCTCTTACAGAATTCTGATTTAAGAAATGTTTTAAAAATAAACAAAAAAAAAACCATAAATGATATGAAGAAAGAGAAGAAGGCAAAAAACAAAAAACACACACATACCCTAAACCATCTTCTTGGAATAACACATCTCTGGTTAGTTTTTTAAAATATTTTAAACAAAATTAGAAATAATTAGCAATTAGAAAAAGATAGTATAAAAAGATATTGCTAAGAATAGTTCTTATTAATATATTAAATTTTGGTTCTCAGGGAATTTTTCACTAGTAGGAAACAAAAAATCCATTCTCTCATTGTGCCTCACAATAGAGAATTTTCATTTTCAGCACTGTAAAGAAGAAACAAAAACCAAAACCCACCATTCACTCGGAATATAAAAGTGATAAACTAAATCACCTATTTTCTATAGGATATCACAGTATGCCTAAGTCTTGAAAGAGAAAAATTTTGCCCCAAATTAGAGTCATGCACTTTTTACTTTTTAAAAAAGGGTCAAAATTGAGAGATTTGTATGTAAAAACATTTGCTGGTAAGTTTCATATATTTTCTCCTTTTCAAAGACCTAAAGGTACTCACTCCTACACCTCTCAGTGTTTCCTTTCCACTACAGAAAAAATGAAATTCCTAAGTTTGAAACTGGAGTCTGGATGTGGAATTATCCTTCTTCTGTGCTCATCCCAACACAGAAAATGTAGAATGGTTCTGTGGACAATAATGAGAGAGGCAGTGACTTATACCAAATACTATAAACTTCTCTCCCAGAAGGGTTTCTGAATCTGCACGTGTAATCTAGTAGAGCTGGCTTTTGACACCAAGTCTGAAGATAGAATGAGTCTTGCCCTGCAGTGGTGAACCATCGGCACACGATTACCCAATGTGTACTTAAGTGGAACTCCATAACATATGGTACTGATGAGTTCTTCTCGCATACATTCTCCATAGTAACCACCTGACTACTTATTTGCAAGAATATCTAGGAGAAGAGATCCTTGAAAGGCCACCTAAAACTATTTCTACTGAATACTACATTAGTAAGAATATGTTATTTTAAAACTGTTTATCCTTACCCAGTGGAGGCTGAAGTAAGTCCCCTTGCTTTTCACATGTCCCAACAGGCTGTATGTCTGCAGAATCAACGAGCCTCCAGAAATCGTTGGTGTTATCACTACCATCTAGGCGTAAACGCAGCCTGGCACCAGCCATTCCAACGATGGTGGCAATGCATATTGAAGTCATATTGCGAGGGTCACGGGCTTCCAATTTCATACCAACTTTAAAGTCATTAGTCGGTGGAATCTCGGACTATATAAATATACACACACATATGTATATGTGTGTACACACACACAATTTTATTAAAATGCATCAACTTTAAACAAATGGTCAGTTATGTTACCAGAATACTTGAGGAGTATTTTAAGTTAACAGTCACAGCAGATGGTAACCAAAGTAAGAATTACAAGGGTCAATAAAAAGATCTCCAAACCCTCTCCTTGGCTTGACATGTGGCATAAAAACACTGTCCACTCCTGGTCTTACTCATCTTCCCACTTTCAGGCAACCCAAATACAGTCTCTAAGATGCACCCTGAATGGCTTTCTAATAAGAATCTGATTAGGCCACTCCCCTTGAAATAAATCAACTGGCAGCTCACTACTGCCTAAGATATAAAGTACAAGTGCTCGGTACAGTTTAAAAGCCTTTAACCTTTAACCTCATTCCCACACTATTGCCTCTACTCACTTTGTGCTCCAGCCATCCCATGCCATCCCTCAACACTCAGGTTCTTATACACCCATGTGCCTTTGTTTTGTATGTTCTCTCTACCTGGAGTATCCTTCCCCTCATTCCAACCATCTCAATAGCACCTCTTCTGTGAGCTCCCCCTATAGAGTTATCACACTTCTCAATTATTTACATGTCTGTCTTTTCCTTCAGACGGGCAGTCATAGGGGCTTAATATACTTGACACTGAGTAAATTCTTAATGAATGAATGCAAAGAGATTATTAATGAATGAATGCAAAGAGGCTCTTAAATGGCACTACCATAATCCCACTATCTCCTCTCACTACTTGAATCTAACAATCACAAAGACACCTTTCAACAAGTTAATAGTTTACATTAATATACCAATATCTAGAGAATTGTGGCAAACCTGTCTGAAACACTCGGAAGGAGCACTTAAAGATCCAGTCTCTTTCAAGTAAGTATCCCACTGGAAATCATCTGGAAAAAATATACAAAATAGGTTGTTTTTTTTATATTATTCAGTATTTACAATATGTATACTAACTTTCAGGAATAAAATGGGTTTTAGTTCTATGTCTTTAAAAATACATTCTAAAGAGCAGATCCAAACTTCTTGATCTACATTTGATTATCAACATGAAATAAAAATAAGACAACTGCCTGATAATAATGGCTCTGATATAAATTACAAGCTAGATCTTCTTAGCATAATAAAGACTACAGCACAGTGATTCTAAAAATGTGGACTCTAGAAACACCTAAAAGACTTTTACAGAGTAATAGCAAATTCTACTCATTTGTCTCTAAATTTACTCGATACATGTGTTTTTACCATTTTGTCCCATTAATGTGAAGCCGCTTTGTTTTTCATGGGGAGCTAAAGGTGTTTAGGTGTGTGGTCTAACAAAATTTTACCCCTGCAATGCTTTATGGAAAGAAGAAAATCAGAGAACCAGAGTTGTTTCTCAATTCACTAGGTCTCCATCCAGGTGTCAAGAATATGGCGGCAGAACAAAATGTAAACCAGTCATTGGTACAGTCACTAATATTATTTTAACGATCTACATCCTCTACAAACTCTTGTTATCTTTTCTCTCTTAGTCTTAATAATACTTTATAATGCTAGTGGAGAAGGTCAGAAAGTAGTATACTCTGCCTGGCTCAAACACTTCAATTCATGTGCCAGTCAGATGCCAAAGACACTGAGAGAAAGACTTGATAGCTGTATTAAAGGTACAATTAATTCATACAAAGTTTAATTCTCATCAACCACAAGGTTTTTCTAAACTCTCATTTAATTTCCTCATGATAAAAATATTGATTTTGACAGTTCCCCTTCCTGGGGGAATCTCTGTTACTGGCCTATTAGATATCCTTTAAAGGATATCTAAGGCTATAACACACTTCATACACACACACGCACACACACACACACACACACACACACACACACACATGCATGTGAAGTGCTGATAATATTAAACAACAAGCTTTTCAGAAAACAAACAATCAAAAAGCCTGACTCATAGTGTTTGCAGATTTCTATGATGTAAACACTATCACCATAGCTGACTGCAAGGTGCCAAGGTGAGGTCACCAACCATAAAGTTGGAAAGAGATGTGCACAATCGGCTCTCCCAAGATGGTGTGAACCAGCTTCATGACACCACCAATATGTGTGTATGTATTCTTATGTATGCACACATATTATATATGGTATTAAGCATGTCATACATAACATTGTACACCCTGCTTTTTTTAACTTAAAAATAAATCTTAAGAGACTGTCCCATTTTAAAAAATACTGTGTTTCAGTCCACTTCCAGACTATGTGAAGCAAGTACTACCAGATGCTAAAAGGCATACAGCAGAATGTCTAGAATATAGGCTCTGGAGTTGAACCTGCCTTCTTCCCATCTGGCTCTGCCTCTTACTAGCTATGTGACCTTACTAGCAAGTCGTTTCACCTGCTCAGCTTCAATTCTTTCTTCTATAAAATGAGAATGTAATAAATATGGTACAAGGTATTTTATTAATTAAGCGAAGTAGCATACATGTAAGTCACTCAATAAATGGTGTTATTATAAAACTAAATATCATAGTTGTGCTTGAATTTACGGGATAGTTTTCTCAAATGTGAAAACTGAGACTGATAGCTCCAAAATTAAACTGACCAAGATATTTCAGTGACCTCCTAAGCACTAACCTGACAATCAGAAGACCTGAAATTCTAACTGAAGCTCCACTGCCATATGGTCTTAGAGAGCATTAAAAACAAAAAGAACAACAAAACAAAACATGAATGGGAAAAAATCTGGCTAAGATGTCATTAAGGAGCTGACATCCCAGGAAGAAGAAAGTATAAGTTAGAAATAATGACTGGGAAACTAAAACCATTTCACAATTGTACCTCACAAAACTAAAATTCTTCCACAAACCAGATATATCCGTAAAAATTTTTCAGTGACATTGGAAAAGACTTAATACATCTCTGTAACATAATTTTTAAAATATTCTATCACCACTTGTGTCTGAATGGGCTCTAATTTGAGCTAGCAAATCCTTTATACCGGTGTGCTTTTATATGATCATTTTCTATTACATTGCAAGCTAATGACCATATGTAGGATTTAACCATTGCAGCCTTAATTTTTTTTTTTTATTCAAAAGGCAAAACTTTTAGTCTGCAACACTGTTCAGCTTGGCTGTCCATGTGCTGAGACTCTACCAATAACATAGCAACAGGCTTTACTAATTTAGATTTGAACACATCTACAATAATGCCACAGCTGGAATTCCTGACCAGGAGCCAAAATAGAAAATCTCAGCCAAGCCTGAGGTCCCAGTCTGCCTCTGCATCTTATCCTCATTGACAGATGAGGTGAAGAATGTTATTCCCTATCAGAAAATAAGCCTGGGAACTGATAGGTTTGTTCATGAGGCAAGTGTACACACATAACCATGTGATCTGATTATTTGCACATAACATGTCCATGGTCCCTTGTTTGACTTGTACTCTATTCTAGTCCATTATTTGTCCAAACACCTTTTGGCAAATTGAACATAATCTATATAAGCCCCCTGGTCTTCTCCAGAGTAAATCAGAATGATGTCTTCCACCAGTGTGAGCCTTGGGTTCAGAGTATCTGGAAAGAAGATAGCCAAAATATCTAGAGCTGGAAGCTTCTCAGCTGAATGATCACAGCACCCACTACTTTACAGCATTTTTAACAACTGTAACTGAGCATTTAATGTCTATCTTGTCTCCTAAACTCAAAGAGGGCAGGAATCATGATTGTCTTATACATCACTAGATCCCATAGAAAGTCACCAGTATGTGCCAGGCACTGTCCTAGGTACTGGAGATGCAGCAATTAATACACAAAAATCCTGGCTCTCTTGGAGCTTACCTTCTAGCAGTCACTCACTGATTTCTAAGGTCAGGGCCCTAAGAAATACCTGCAGATGTCTGTCAATTTAATTAAGTAATCTCACTTTTTAAATCAAAAGTTTGAGAATTTTGAAAAGTTACTAGTTTCAACCTTTAAGAATATATTTTTTTCAAATTTACTTTTGTGAAATTGTTGGAATGGCAGATCTATAGAGATAAAAAGTAGGTAAGTGGTTCGCTAGAGCTGGGGAAGGAGAGAGGCACTGGGGGAAAATAAATAAGTGACTGCTAACTGGGTACAGGATTTTTTAGGGTGATGAAAATGTTCTAAAACTGATTGTGGTGGTGGTCGCATAATTATGTGTATATACTGAGAACCACTGAAGTGTATACTTTAAATAGGTGGATTATATTATGGTATGTGAATTATCTCTCAACAAAATTGTTATATTAAAAAAAACAGATGGGGAGGAATCTGTAGGGATGACTCTAACCTAATGGCCTCCATTTCCTTGGAGGGATTTAGAGGTTGGAGGAAAGAACTAAGGATCAAATAAGGCCAATGGGAAAAATAAGGAAGCACTGAGGGACCACTGGTCAGAGAGAATGGTTCCATGGGGATTACCTCTATAGGCAATGTTCCTGTAGGAACAGAAAGTCATGTGTAAACTGCTCCAAGGGTGGGACTGGCAGGTACAACAGAAAGACAAGGGGCAAGAGGTTTGCCTGAAATCTCTGGTAAACACGATAAGTTTGCTATAGTACTTTTTGTTCAGCCTTTTGTGTGCATATGACTTATTTTCTCATTTTCCTTAAAAATAGGTACAACGGATCGATACATAAGTCTT